GCGAGGCGAGCCACAATCCTCATCTGCCTGACGACGGCGCCCGCCGATCGGCGTCTTCGGTGCGCCGCCGGGGTCGGATGAGAGGGGCGCGCCGGAAACCGACTCTGTACGCCACTCCGTAAATAGGAGCCTAGCTCAGAATACCAGAACGCACCGAAGCTTCATTCGACGTTAGTAATTTGTAGCTGGTGTCAAGGTGAATGCGCCGTTCCACGGTCTGGTGTGCTGGGCAACTGTGCACTGAGCACACGGCACACGCTTTGCCTGTACGTTGCGTATAGATCGTAAATGCTTGCACTTTCCAGAAGTTCAGCAGCAGCGGACGATTGTTGATGTCTGGTCTTTTCTGCCCCCACCCCTTCCGCTACCCTCCCAAGACGATGGAACCTTCAGAAACATTCGGTCGTACCACTAGAACATTCAGATAACTCTTTCTTTTCACTTAAGCGTGTGTTTGACAAGTTCCAGCAAATAAAGATAGGCAGTGCCGGGGTCCAATTTAGTGTTCACCCGTGTTTGCCGTGTAAATACCAAGTCTTCCAGCGGAGCCTCGGGCGGGAAGAGAAAAAAGTACCTAATTATCTGGGGATTTCGTAAGTTCTCAACAAAGAAGCCTGACAATACTTTAGTCTGTCTCCGTCCTCTGGCGCGCGGGCTCATTTCAACACAGCTCGCCAAATAAGAGCGAGGCGGGGACCGGTCCCGGCACGGTCTGCCGCCGCGGCGACTTGGTTTTCCGGCGGCGGTCGCCCGGCGCGGGCTCCGTCTCGCCGCCGACGCCGGCCGGGGCCGCGGCTCGTGCGATAGGGCGCTCCTACGACAGACGCAAGCCGCCACCGAGGGCCGCCCGACGTGTCCACACTGGGAAGCCCGGCCCGGATCTGTGGCGGCGCCGCCGTGCGCTGCGGCTCGAGGCGGCCGTTCACGCACTGCGGGCGGAATCCGGCAAATCCGCGCCCGGGGCGAGCGTCGCGCCGCATCTCATCATAATAGGATTTCATAGACGATTGGGCCGCGGGCGGGGAGTTATTATTTTCGGCAGCGGTGCAGCGCGGCGCGCTTGATGGCTTACCCGGCACCACCGGCGGCGCTCAGGAGTTTTGTCGTCACATCTGGAGCATTAGGTAAACATGTTTGCGTCGGGCGTTTTCAGCTTTGGAGACGACTGCACAATTTTGCAGCCTTCACGTGCGATGGTGGAGATACGCCATCCATGGCTAGAATATCCGGTCATGTAGTTTCACCGCCCCAATCCTGACATTTCTGCAAGTGGGCGTCCACTGCCATCAAATACGGGCCAGCAGCTTAAATGGGTCTTCGAAGTCAATAAGCATGAAGGGTAAGCGCGATTTCCACCTCATGTGTTCCCATGAAACTCTATAGGGTTACCGCTAAATTTGAAAAGGTATGGAGATATCCGCCTCCTCCTCCCTTTGCCGTTGTTCCAGCTAGTCGGGGATGTTGAGCGAACACTCTTGAATAGACTGATTGCCTGCTATAGTTGACATAACAATGATAGGCGATATGGCATCTTGGACTTAATTTTTTTCATGCATCGCTATAGGAACAATTTTCAACATTCCTGAAAGTGGGCACGTGACCGCGTGCCCCCCCCCCCCCCCCCCCACCCACTGCGCCCTTCTGTTCCTACACCTATACAGAACGCCCCGAAGGCAGACGATTGTCGACCTTGGTCGCCGCCTCGGTTCAGCCTGGTCTGGCGTGGCGGCCCACTTGTGAGACCGCCGCACCGAAATACAGCCGATAAACAGCTCACTGCCGACTGGGTCCGGCGGCCGGCCATCCCGGCTCGTAATTGGTCCGCGGGCGGCAGCTGGTGCTCGTCGAGGCGCCGCCGGTAGCGAGCCGTCCTCAGACCGCGCTGAGTCACGTCCCCGCGAGCTGCAGAGCCGCGGGGCAAAGACGTGCGGATGGAGGGGGCCCGGCGCGAGGGGGCACCGCGCCCGACCGGATTAATCTCCGAAGAATATTCTGAGGGGGACGGCGGGGGAAGCGGACGGTGTTTGTAATGGTGACGATATTGGGCGGCGCGTAATTTACGGCCGGCGGCCGGAATAAAAAATGCGCTGGTGACGTGTAGCGATCCGTCGGTGGGGAGCACGGCTGCGACATAAACACGCGCGGAACTCAGGGCCTGTTCAGTAGATCATGCGTGGCGAAAACAGCCTTCACATCGGACGGCGTATTGGTTTACGTGGCGACACATGGCAGCAGAGCATCTGTCGTCTTTATAACCTTCCACACTCTAGCGGGGCAGCCGGCCCACGCGCTGTGACGACCGGGGCGGCTGAGAGGAAGGCCGACCCAGCCCGGCGGGGTAAGATACAGCCCCTCGGCAGCGCCGGAAGCGGCGGTGGAGTGGTGCCGACGCGCCCCGGAAGAGATCAGGGCGCAGCCCGCCGTCTGAGACGGCGGCACGCCGCCAGCCAGCCTGCCATCAATAACACCGGCTTTTATGGCCGCGTCCACCGTGTATTTTCCAGACATAATAGGCCATTAGCGGGCTAATAAATCAAAACGGCTGTATCGGCGTCGCCGGTCACTCAGCCGGACAGCAGAGGCGCCCATAAAAATTAATAGACTCGCCCGACTTGGCTGGCGAAAACGGTCGGCGAAGAGCAGTGCAATGTCAGGTATTGTCCTTCCTGTAATTGTTTAAACGCGTTGATACTGACGTGCATTTTATTCTGTGCGTATGCATACACCTGCATCGCACACCGTCCACATCATAAATATTGTAAACGGCATCGAACCGCGGAAAACCGACAGCGGCCTTTGTGAAAGCGCCTGCATCAGAGGTGCAAATAAAAATCACGCGAGACGCATACTAAGTCAACGTCAGAGATAGCGGCGAGGATCCACGCATGGAAGAGCCTTCGAATCTAGCCGAATGGTATCGTTATTCAAAAGGCAAGGGCGCCATCCGTGGCCTATCTCGCTCAAGGACGGCACCAGGTCCCGCGACGAAGCCCTTGCCGGCGCGCCGGCGCGGTCGACAGAGTAAACAGCGCGCGTGCCCAGCTGAGGCGGCGCGGCCGGCGTGGCGTCTCCCAGGAGTGACACCTGTTATTACCGCCGCTAACGCGACGATGGTAATCTCATCAGCGGCCCGCGGGAGGGCCGCGGCCGCCGGGGCGGGGCCGCGCAGTAGGTCGAGTGCGGCGGACCGGCGCGCCAGCCGCATCGGAACGAGCCCGACACCAAAGGAGCCTTCGTTTGTGGAGATGCAGCCCGAGGATCGATAGGTCATTTACTGCCGGCAGATAGACCGATGCAGATGTGTCGAGGGCTCGTAAGGTAAGTGACACGCCGCTTTATTGCGAAGAAAAAAAAACACTGGTAGCAGCTTTGACTACTGAATTCGGTTGGAGTGAAACATTTCCGGCAATTTGAACACCATGATCATGGGGCGGTCCATGGGTCACCGACGTAACACAATACATTTACGTCAGCACGCAGATTGCCACCGTCGATGGCAGTGCTATACAGACACTGTCGACAAGGCGTCGCATCTGTTTGTACAGGGAATCCGGGCTTATCTCTGCCATTTCCCCTGTGTTGTTTCCAGCCGGAGGTTCCCAATTCCGACGCATTTGCATAATGCACACCAGTCAACGCCGGGGGGTTGATCGGATTAAACACGTGGCCTGTGCTGCGCTCCTGGGCTAATTGGTGAACTAGGTAGGCCACCAGGCAGAGCTTATCGGCTTGCTGGAGCATCCCCGAAGCCGTGATGTGACCAACACACGCCTGTATCGTAAATGACGCTGGCTATCGACAGTTTAATTGCGATCGTTTGGGCCCTCAGAAGTACGCAAAATGCACCATTGTCTGTTTTCCAGAATATCACAACCAGTTGCTGACATATCTTATCGCATGTATCCATGTTTCTGAAAGTATAAGACATCCTTCGATGTAAAAAGGCAATGTTCCTATGCAATTAAGTGGGAGCCGAAAGCTTTTTACTTTGTCTCTCATCTGCCTTTGCGGAAATTAAATCTTGACTATTGGTCACGGTTGCCACCGTGTATGGCTTATCTACTCGATGATCAGACGCATAGATCCCTGCCTGGTGCATCCGCTGTGTTGGCGAAATCTTGGAGACTGTAAATTCGTTCCGCCGGAGAACAGATCGAAGACAAAACGACCACTTTATTGCAATACGGCACCCGTGTTGCAACACACAAATATATCGGCTATGGCTTGCTACAGTATCACAATAAGGCAGTGCAAGACCAACGTTACTCAGGATCAATTGTGCAACGATTGCGCGACGATTTCATTAGAATAGTGTTACTTGTCCTCTCGTGAACGACACATCAGCTGCAGTCCTGCTGCTAGGCGTCGAGGGAACGCAACAGCTTAGCAGCGCTTGTTTGCTGCTCGTAACTACAAACAATAAGAAGGAAATCAGTGATGGCCTGGCCTGGTCCACACACATCTCACCCCCAAACTACAGCCAACGTTGACACCCCATGTTCGTCTCCATGCAGCGATGGAGCACACTGGCTACTACGCGCGTTACTCAGCTTCTGCTGACAGCACCCCCCGGGCTGGGCGTTTGACCCGTGCTGCCCGCTCCAAGCCCCAGTGCGCACAGCACTGATCAAAAATCAATGTCCAACGCCTGGTCGATGTGTCCAGTGAACAGGTGTCCATTCAAGAGACGATCGCGAAAACAGGAGGCGATCGCCTCCCGGCGGTATCGAGGTCACGTGGCGCGAGGTCGTCGCGCCGTCGATGAGCGCACCGCGAACAAATTGATCGTCCAGCGAACGGAGCGTTGTCCAAACACGCCCCGGGGTGTTTGCAGTGGTCGGTCGATGGCAAGAGAGGTGTGGACCATAAATATAAAAAGCATAACCACACAACCCGTCCGGGCCGGAGCAGCAGCAGAAGCAGACCGACGGCCAAGGTGGGAGGAGCGGATGCAGCGGGAGGGACAGCTCGTTAGTGAAGGATAGGGGGGGGGGGGGGGGGGGGGCTCAGGCACCACGGCACCCGATGAGTAGGACAGGATGGACAACAGCGACTTAGCGAGATGCAACTTGAATGACATGATCACGGTCCAGCTGAAAAAACTCCGCGCCAGAAAAGAACATGAAAACCGTGATGTGTTTGAACATATGATTCCAAGCACTGCAATCTGCTTAGCATGGCATCAGACGTACCATGGTTAGCCAGCTGCGGGATGAAGGAGACGGGTATGCGACGGGGCAACGTCGCGGCCGTCGTGGGTTGCTACCGTTGCCAAATCTTACCCCGTCCAAGGACTCCACTACGCGGTGCGCTCGGGTGCAGCAGCGGGACTCTCACCAGAGCGGTCATGGGGCAGACTCATGGCTAGCGACGGCGGCGTGCCCCACGGTGAGGCGGGCCGTGGAGGGATTGGGATGAAACAGTGAGGGAGAAAACTGGCTGGATCAATCATGGGCATGCGGGACAAACATTCACATGTAAATGTTAACGTCGTGCACAAAACGAAGTCACCACAAATCGCATGTTATTCTACAAATACGCTCTGAATTGATCACGGTAACGTCATGAAAGTGACACATGTAGCACTGGCAAAAGACAACAGACAAGCTAGTGTAACAAACACGATGGGCTCAGAAATACGACAAGTCACAATCTCTTGGCACTAGGATATGGTGGCATCCAGTGATGACACAGCGAGCATGGTGAGGTATAATGATGACACGACCAGCACAACAATAATACACAGACACGAATACTGAGTCAGGCGGCCATGCAGCTCTCTGTGCGGGAAATATTCGGACCTCCACAGACATATCGCACAATCCTGCTGACCTTGCGACAGCCCCTGCCGTCTAGAGCCGCCCACAGATACTTCAGCTCGTGCCACACCAGCGACCTGATGAACAGCAGCGCCGCCACGTGGCCCAAAATGCAACTACCAGTATAAATGTCGCTGCCGAGCAGGAGCGGGAGCCAACGGTCGGCTGGCCCCACCTGCCTGAGGTAGGCGGCCACGTGACAGAGGTAGGCGGCGCAGCCGGCGGCGCCGAGAAGCAGGGCGCGCAAGTAGCGCCGTCTGTTGGCCGCTGTGACACAACTGGCCATATACAGGCAGTGGTGGTCCTGGCCGCGGAAGCAGCGCTCGCAGAGCCGGCAGTGACGGCCCAGGTCGCGCCGCATCACCTGGAGGAGGAGCGCGGGTCAGGCACGCCCGGTGCGTGGTCACACAGAGTCGGCAGTTACGGTCGCGTTGACTGGAGCAGGGGCACAGGTCAGGCACACCCGGTGCGTGGGCACACAGAGCCGGCAGTTACGGTCGCGTCAAATGGAGGAGGAGCGCGGGTCAGGCACACTGGTGCGCGGGCACAGAGTCGGCGGTTACGGTTGCGTCGACTGAGGCAGGGGCGCGGGTCAGGCACATCCGGTGCGCGGTCACACAGAGTCGGCAGTTACGGTCGCGTCGACTGAGGCAGGGGCACAGGTCAGGCACACCCGGTGCGCGGGCACACAGAGTCGGCGGTTACGGTCGCGTCAAATGGAGGAGGAGCGCGGGTCAGGCACACTGGTGCGCGGGCACACAGAGTCAGCGGTTACGGTCGCGTCGACTGAGGCAGGGGCGCGGGTCAGGCACATCCGGTGCGTGGTCACACAGAGCCGGCAGCTATGGTCCCTTTAATTAGTTGCGATTGTAAACCCGCCAGATTTGCGAAAGCCCGCTACTATACGGCCGTCGTGCTCACCTTGCAGACGGGGCAGTAGCTGGCCTGGCCTGTCACGGCGGAGGCGACCTTCCTGAGCGTGGCGGCCAGGTCTGCGGTCGGCTCCAGCGGGCCGGGATCGGCCGTGGCTGCCGCGTGGTAGCAGAGCACGAACCCGATCAGCAGGCCCAGCGTTAGGGCTGCGAAGGCGGGCGGCACCAGCCGGTCTGGCTTCCGTACGGTCAGGGACGTTAACTGTGGCTGTGTGAGCGGGAGGCGGGTGGGCGGGCGACACCCGCACACAAAAATAAACGTTCCCATCCGTTTGTCTCGTAGCATGACCCATAAAATGCTCTTCTGTGCAGAACATGCGTCAAAACAACTTTTCACTAATATCGGCATGATATGCTCACGAATTGTTCGTTACGTATACCACATCCTAAACATTCTTGCGAGTACAGGACATCGCTCCCAGAACAATCGAGGACCCCTAATTTTACTATACTGACTCTGACACAGGACCCCTCCTTGCCCCGTAGTTCGGTGGAATACCAAAGTTCCATCGAATCCCGGCCGACCTCATTCAAAGGATACAGGTCTTCAGGTAGACCAGACCGGACGCCACTGACACCCCCGTCAGCGCCAGAACGCCTCCCAACGCGAATGGACTCGGCAGACTGAAAACCAACGGCAGTTGTCAACGGTCGGCAGTGCACTGCCAAACTGTGAGCACAGACATGCGGAGGGCGTGTGAAAGGGAATCGCGTGATGTATTTCGAGCAGATCTCAGCGCCCAAACTAATAGGTAAAAGCTGATAGGGCAAGTTAGCTCCCGCGATACATTGTATGAGGAAGACACCGGCGCATGCGTCTTTATCAGTGTGAGCCATTGAGGCCGATGTGACAGTGACAGGTAATTATTATGCGTGGAACAAACGTAATTAGAGTCAGTTTGACTCGTGCTGTGCACGACTGACTGGCACTGTGTCAAACACTGTCCAACTCAACCAGACAGCCGCGGCATCTGTCAGTGACTGGTGACGTCACAGGCCACGTTTGACTAATCCCTGAGCACCACTCAGTAGGCACGCCCATTCCGTCATCCCCAGACCAGCAGCTGACAGCTCACGAGTGGAACCCCAGCCGCCAATGCCCCGGCGGCGCGGCGGAGCGGTGAGCAGCGCCGCCCGCTCACCGGCTGGGGTGGCCGAGCCGGTGGCTCTGGCCGCGCAGCGTCAGCAGACCGGCCGCCATCAGGGCCGGGTTCAGCACAGGCGCCCACCGATCCGGCGTCAGCTGGCACAGCAGCAGCGTCAACAGGTACGTGACGGCCGGCCGCCACAGCGTCCACAGCCAGAGCGGCCGCGGCGAGGGCACACCGCCGCCCGCCAGGTGGCGCGCATGCAATCGGGTTAGAAACCTCCCGCAGGCCGGCCTGTGGGCGGCGCGAGAAAGGAGTGGGGTCTGTGGTTGGTGCCAAGGGTGGGCTGCAGAAAAATGGGCATAAGTGACAGCCAGACAAAGTGAGGGCGACCAGCTACCGAAGCAGCGTGTTGCATGAGCGGCGATATACCTAGGACTCGGGTTTATGTCCCTTCCAAAAATGTTTTTGAAAGCTATCATTTGTCCCATTGTTCCGTCCTCACGTTCTTTCTACACGACTCGCTGTGGCAGAAGCGTGTCATATCCCAGCTGATGCCGCGGCCGTGACCACAACGCGTCACTGGACCGCACGTTATGCGCTCTCATCCACGCCCCACCCCGGTCCGCACCCGGCCGGCAGCCGCCGTACCTGGCCGGCGACACGAGCTGGTGCGGGCTGCGTCCCTCGGCGCTGGTCGCCGCCAGCAGCCCGGCGCCGCTGCCGTTCACCAGCAGCCAGCACACGTGCTCGTGACCGCCGCGAGCCGCGTGGTGCAGCGCCGTCTCGCCCCGCCGGTCGGCCGCCAGCAGGGACGGCCTACGGGCAGTGGCACGGCACAGCCTCAGGGAAACGTCCCCACGCAGTCCAGACGAGGCAGGCAACCATACGGCGGACGTCACACCTCCACAACAAGCCTCCACATGTTACAAGACTGCTCTGCTGTGGGACACCAGCTGGCCCGCAGCCGTCCACCCTGACCTGGCCCTCTCCAGCAGGTACTGGACAGTGGCGGCGTGCCCAGCGCCGGCGGCCATCATCAGCGGCGTGCGGCCGTCCGCGTCCACCGCTGATAGCGGCGCCCCCACCACTGTCTCCAGGTACTGCAGCACCGTGCTGAGGGCACATGCCGCATGTGCATCACTCATCATGGTAGTAAGGGACAGCATCGGTGGAAGGGAATGGCATGGTTCACTGATGACAGACCAAACTCATACACACCCACTTTGGTGACCACAAAAATTGTCATGCTTAGGAGTCAATGAGCTTTAAAAAAACATCTGTATGGGCTGAGACAATGCATGGTTTAAATTTTGGGAGTAGTCTACAAATGATTTGCATTAGGTACTCACAGATGGCCATTCTGGGCAGCTGCATGGACACAGCTGGCACCATGAGCATCTCTGCACTCAACATCAGCCCCAGATGCAATCAGCTGGCCAATGGTCCACAACTGACCACTCAAACAAGCTGCAAATAGTGGTGTCTGACCTAAAAGAAATCACACATGTCAAAAGGCAATCTGAAAGCCTTCATAAAAAACATGCATATCATCTCCTCATTCTCATAACAAGAAACACATCTTCATATATCAGCAAGAGGATCTGGCAAAATATTATGTGATAAAAAGGTTGGAATATGCTGTATTCACACTGACAGGATTCCCTTTTTGCAATGCAACTGAGAATATCTCAAGGTGTAAAATTTGTTTGCTTTATGACACTAAGTGTTCCACATAGGCCTTGTAAAGGCTGGAAGAACCATGAAAGAAAGCACATTTTGCATGAAGAAAATCATGTGCTTACCTCCCCTTGGTGTTTCACAATACAATGTCCATACTGAAAACCCAGTGCATGGCTTATGCCTCTCTTCACTCTACAATCGCCTTCTTGATCCAGGTTCCAAGAAATTCCCTGCTCTAGCATAAGACCTGATTAAATTTAGAATTTCCTTATGTGACAAAGCTTTACAACATCAAACATATTTCACATCTTTCTGTGCTCAAAGCAGAGTGTAGATACATAAACTCTTAAAATGGTTTCATCATCTCAATCTGCAACCAACAAATACCCTGTACATGTGCTGACCTGCAGGATCAGCTTCATCTGAATATCCAGCATTTCCTAGGACACCTTGCACTGCAGCCAAATTCCCTGAGAGAATTGCACAGTGCAGAGCCGATTTTCCTCCTGTAAGTATAAGCTGCAAATTAAAGAAGCAAAAAACAACAAGTTAACTGAAACATTCTCATTGTTTTGGGAAATATGGGTTCATTCAAGTCTGTGCAATGGGTAGATGCATAATGGCATTGCATGGAATGTTTTACTAACCTCTTAATATGATATTGACTGCTGAATTGGCATTTCCATAGTCAGTTATAGGCATAAATTAATTAGTTAAGCTTAGCAAAAAAACTCAATTCTTATGTTTACACACAAATCATTTAAATCCAACTGATGCTAAAATAGGTAGGGCTTAAATGCGGCTTACCATATTTCACGGTCAGTAGATCTGGCTGCGACAGGAGCAGTTTTTTCAAGTGAGATGAATCCATGAACGACATCTGCTCGATCACATTAGAAACGTTCATGTCCGTCGTCAATTGCATCGTTGGAGTGTTATGGATGTGGTGTTGATACCTCACCAACGTAAACTGGTGTATTCTCAGCCCGAAGCTACTCTCACCGGCCCGCGCCCGTCATGTTCAAGTTACCACTGACTGCATAGAAATGTTCATATTTTCTACGATTAAATATTTTGTCTTCAGTGCGTCGAAAAATATGACATTTTGTTGCCACATCAGATCAATGCGTCTACATCTCCTAAATCCGCGTGCGCTCATCAATATATATTATATATATATATATATATATATATATATATATATATATATATATTGTGTGTGTATGTGTGTGTGTGTGTGTGTGCACATGACTACTGTCATGAATACTGTGTACAGGTCTACTGTCGTGTCCCGAGGCCCCTGACTGACTCACCTTTGCAGGCTGACCTCGGCGCCCTGGCCAAGTGGTCAAAGGAGTGGCTGCTGCCCTTTAGTGCAACAAAGTGCAAAATAATGCATATTGGGAACTGCAACTCGGCGCCGGGTTGGACGGCGCCGAAATCGCGGTCGAGTCCACCGAGAAGGACCTCGGGGTCGTGAGGCGGTCTTTTGCCAATATCGATGTTCGCACGTTGTCATTGCTTTTTAAGATCTTGGTACGTCCGTACTAAGAGCATGGCAACGTTATCTGGGGCCCGTTCGACAAACTGGACCAGAAGCGGCTGGAACGGGTTCAGCGACGAGCTACCCGGCTTGTCCATGAATTGAGGCGCCAGCAATACCCTGAGAGGCTCAGACTCCTTCAGTTGCCCTTGCTATACTATCGTCGTCGTAGGGGAGACATGGTATGTGTACCAGCTGTTTCACGGAGGTATGACGCTGTCGGAAGACGAGTTCCTGACAAGGCACTACTCGGAGGTGACGAGAGGACACCAATGGAAGGTCAGAAAACCTCGAGCTAGCACTCTCGTCCGTCGTAACTCATTCAGCACGCGGGTGTCAGCGACTGGAACGCTCTTCCATACCCGGTCGTGTCGTCGACCTCAGTTGAACAGTTCGAGTTCAGGCTTGATCTGCAAGACCGTGCACTCACTGGGCTGACACCATGCACGACATTCCACACTGAATCTTCCCATAATTTGAGACTGTTTGGTTGCCGGACCGGGAGCCTGACGAGACCGGGACCTACAGGCCTAGCGGCCTTTTACAATTCTCGATCACCATAAGGTTAGGTAAGACAAGGTATGACTGCTCTCGCTAAAGCGAGCAGAAATTCGTGATTATGCACGGTCTTGCAGCCTACTTACATCCCAAACATCTGCATTATCACATCCCTAGTTTTGCTGTCGGTTATGGCATCATGGATTAAACTACAGCAAAATACCAGTACCGCTTGCATAACGCACTTAGAGAGCGCCCACGCGGGGCCAAAACAACGGAGCCGCAGCAGCGCGAACGGATTCCTGGCAGAAGGAAAGCAAAATGTACCGTGAGCTTATACCGCAGCCCTACGCATTTGAGCCTCTTCAGGAAGGAGGTTCGATGCTACCGCCCAGCGCAGTAATGTTTTCTGGGAATATCTATTCGACGTCGTGCAGTAGTAGTGGCAACTGGGGGCTTCTGATGGATGCACTGTGCGATCAATCAGCAGCGTCCATCGGCAAGTCGCATTATCGCCTCTAAATTTCCCATTACGCCCTGAGGACATTCATCGCGCGAGCTTTCGCACCAAAAACGTGTCCCTAGCATTTATGGTGTTTGAGCAGTGATGGGTGCACAATATTGTACGGCGATCTACGGTTACCACGGGCATTGGGTGGACACCGATGGATCTGTCGAGCGGGGCGGTGGTGACGACACTGCTACATTAACTTAGCTACATCACGAGCATATGTCCAAAACACGCGAGATCGCAAACCGATGTAATCAGAATTAAACGGGGGGTATGCGCGTTTCTTATTGACATGTGGCAAGGCTGTGTGAATATTGGCGCGTGCAACTGAATTAGTCTGGTTCGCAGCAGTGTAATTCCACCTGGCCTCCCAGGGTCATTTGACCTCGCAGCATAAAACGTATTACCAATCGTAAAACCTCATTAAAAACAATTCACTGATTTCTTCCGCCATTCCCTATTACCGTAAGGCTGAAAACGGCTGTGGACTCGCCTTCTCCTTCCGTTCGAACAGCAAATAAGAGCGAATGTTAAAAGACACTTCAGTGACTTTCAGTGACCGTTGATGGAGCCTCGCCGGCCAGAAACATCCCAGCCAGCAGTCTTTGAGGTCTCCCCGCTTCCGCTCTTCTCAGTTGGCTTTATTCATGTTTAGTTACTTTCCGCCGATGATTTGTCGTGCAGACGACAAACTGTCCGTTACCTGCCTGCTATATTCCCGACTTGAAGATAGCGGTGACAGACTTGGCCTTACAACGGGTCGACTGCGGTTGGCCGCCACGCGACTCGTTTGCATGGCGCACGCATTGGTGAATAGCTTACGTAAACGGTACAAGCCGCCGTGTAGTATGTACACGCGTTACAGATGTGCTACAGGGGGGGATTACGAGGATCCACGACGCACACATGCCAGCGCCAACGTTCGGATACACCAACGACGATGAAGAGTAACACGCCAAGGTCTCGTTTTTACCAGCTGCGCGGTCGCAACTCACGCACCCACAGTAAGCACACCATGCCCCGTCCTCTTCTGCAAGCTGCGCGCGCCGACTCGCTCTCCATACAGGCTCGCGCCGTGATAATACATCTAAGGGCTAAATAATAGTGATAATTACTCCTGGTAGCGCCACACAATTTTGTCGCCTTCCTACCGCACCGCACGGACTGAACAATAACAACGCGACGATCACATGGAGGCGCGGGCCGCTGCCGGCGGCAGCGGCGACAGCGGCGGCGGCGGCGGCGATGGCCTAGACGGCAGTGCGTGGCGCGCGTCCGGGCCGACCACACTGTCCCTGGGCCGCCCGCCCGCGCTGTCGGCTGGGCGGCGGCGCACCGCTAATGGAATGGTTCTCCCCGCCCGGCCGGCGCGCTCACATCGAGTAGCCCTGGTAGCCGGGCATGGCGGCGGCCGGCTGGCCATACGGCCCGTTCTGGTAGACGGGCGGCGCGCCGTAGGCGCCAGGCGCGGCGGCGCCCGGGTAGCCGGGCTGCGGGGGCATCATGCCGCCCGGGCCGGCCGTCAGCATCAGCTGCGGCTCTGTAACGAGCGACACACGGCGTCACCGCGCGGCACGGCACGGTACATATCGGCATCGGCCGCGCCTCTGCATCATGGGGCACAGACGACGCCACCTAGAGTTACGGCACAGCACAGCACAGCACAGCACAGCACAGCACAGCACAGCACAGCACAGCACAGCACAGCACAGCACAGCACAGCACGGCACGGCACGGCACGGCACGAAATGGCACGGCACAGCACGGCGTCGCCCGAGCGGTGACGGCCGGGAGGCAGATGACGTTCCGTCTGGGCAGAACCGCGCCCTACGCATTGTGCTGGAGGTCGGCATAGCTGAGCGGCCACCCGTTTTTATCCACCCACGCAGCTGAAGTGGCCACGGCCACGAAGGCAGCACACAACAGTCGACGGAACCCGAACCAGTTCCGGCCACGGAGCAGCGGTGTCCCACCAGCCGATGATTCCGTGTCAGGACTGAGCATACGCCAACAAACTCCTGATGCCGAAGCACAAGACAAGGACGCGCACGGTGGTAACTACCGGAGCGCTGCTTGCGAGCCGTAGTGCTCGGCTGAGGCTCAGCCTAACGTTAGGACCCAGCCGTTCAGTAGGCCTGACACGCCATTCAAATATGTAGACAAGGGGACCCCGAATATTCGACCATCAAAGCACCAGGCTCTTCGCACTAGGCACGTCAGTCGCATGGGTAAGACGAATGTTCATGGTCGCAACAAGTGTCGCTACCATGGTGTCATTTGTGTATACCTCGTTCTGTTTTTGTTTTTGACGGCACGCATTGTGATGACTCGACAAAAGGCAAAGACACGGAATTCCGCTCCCATACGTCCAGGCACATCCGCTGTGATAAACTTGCAGGAAGTTCGGTCCCAAGTGAACAAAGACGTCACCGGAATCAGTTGTCGCGGTCAGCGGTACTAGACGCTTCCAAGCTCAGTTAGAAATTACGAACGCCTCTGGACCAGACCACTAGCATCGAATCCTTCCACATCAACGGGAATGCCACGCAGGCTACAAACCACCTTTCACCCAAACCAAGACGAAACAGATGGCAGTAAATGGATGGCAGTGACCCGCTGGAGAAAACCTGAATGATACCAGATGTAAATGCCCGAGTTTTACCGCATCAACCAACTCATGGAGGCGCTAAGCAATTTCAAGATCGCGAGTCTAACAACCAGCCGATGCTATCATTCGCGGGACGCAGCAAATCCCAGCGTGGGGAGGATTCGGGACTCACTGAGCAGAAATGTATCGCACTAAGGCTGGACAATATGGTGGGAAGGTGACAGCTATGGACCGGGGATATCTTCATCCACTATGCGCCGTGTCCACATCCACTGTAAGATAAAGTCAAAACCTTTCGGCAAACACGCACGTGTCACGTGTCTCATCTGTAACTATGATGGACTTTGCTCTTCTGCATTGAATGCTAGGACACTCATGGCAGGCTGATTTAATAATCCGTGGCCCACTAAGGAGCGCGATAAACTAGGACGTCGGATTTGAGAGGGCATCAGAACAATGTTTCGCTAAGCCTGTAGTGGGTGCGGGTGTCGGGCTTCTTCTGTTAACACAGAATTTGTCGCAATGGATCAACCCCGGCTTTACCATTCATGAACATGACCACCGCCTAGTTGCTACATACTCTGCCACTTATGATATCACATTAGCCCTGAAGGCTTATCGGGGGCCGAGGGCGGGAGGCTCGAGGAGCGACCTTGTGAATCGACGCGGCCATTGCAGCGGAACAGGCATATGAACAAAACCTCACACACAAATTCAGCGCTCTAGCGTGATTTTTTATGGAGGTAAACTGTCTGTACACATTCGAAAAACTTTGAGACGCTGCAGAAAAACCTGAACATAAAACACATGTACCTAAGATGAGGTGAATCTCCTTCCAGACACGTCAATACTGTTGGCAA